ACCCATCTTGTTAGAGGTGTTTGTAGTCATTGAACTTTCGCCTACTTTGTAAATGCTTTGAATATATATGTCTTTCATTAAATGTTAATTTCTTGTTTCTACCCTTAGTGCTTGCTTGAAATGGGGACGTGGATAGTTTGATTTGTGGTTCATTAGGTTTTGGGAAGAATCTAGTGAAACCTAAACTTGAAATAAGAAATCTAATGGAGCTTGTATCTAGGAGTGGAACTTGAGTTATTAGTTGTCTTAAACCTTAGATCTTAATACAGGTTATAAGTGTCCACGGGGATTAGTTCTTAGTAGAAAACCTAGATTCTTTCACCTAAGGGATTAAGGTTAAAATGTTTTAGTGGGTTGACTTTAATGTTTGGTTGAGAGGAGATGATTGTGTGTGTGCACGAGAGTGAAGCCAATGAATTCTACCCTTAGCAATGCCCTTTCATTCCATTTCTAACCTTTCCCCTCTTCTAAGTGCCTCCAACTATCAAAGTCCACCTTTTATTTCTTTGTTAATTTATCTTCTTGCACATAATCTTCTATTCTTTAGTCTATATGAGTTATTAATTATACAATTCTTTAGTATTACACGAGTCTTTTGAGAAACGATACCTGGACTTACCATTTTATATTACTTGAGTGATTCGGAGATGACCGTTAACACCTACCTCAACAACACATGAACCTACCTAAGGTAATAGCACAAGTTAAAACCTACTTTGACAATATACGAGCCTACCTAAGTCAGTCGGGTGTTAAAACCTACTTCAATAGGGTGTGAGAGTACGCAAGTTGGTAGTATAAAACTTGCCTAAGATGACAATCTAAGCCTGACCAGCTAATATAATGAATTTTTCGAGTATAGGTTATGCATGCATACAGAAGTCAACATCGAGTTTAGCACGGTTAAAGAGTATCACATACAATCCATCCAAACGACCAATCCACCTATAAACATAAGCTAACTACAAGAGTTAGTTACAACAATAAGTTCACTCTATATATTAAAGAACGCAATCCAACAAGGCTTATTCAATATTATTGACGTAAAATGGTTAAATAATATTTAAAAATATTTGTTGGAACAATTATAGTATATTAATAGAATATATAGTCAAATTTTAATAGTTAGACTACATGATAAATATTCTATATATATATATATAACGTAGTTAAATAATATATTATTGTTACTATTTATTATAAATGAGATAAATTTTTATTTTCTTTTATTTTATAACAATTTTGATAGGACATACAAAATTATAAATACATGTGATAGAATACAAATCATAATTCATACTCGTTATTTTACTAATATAAATTCTAAAATTTTCTTACTAACTTAAGTTTTATCAAAAACTTTAAAACCGTCACTTAAATCTTGTAATCTATTTAAAAGTTCACATGTTGATTTATGATAAAAACAAAAAGTCATCACGTGCTTTAGCTTTTTAACATCTACTTGAACTTTAATTAAAATACCAGTTTAAAGTCATCATACAAAATTATCTATTCTTTATGTTTCAAACTATTGCTTGTAGTAGTTTCTTATATTGCCAAGTTTATAAAATTTATCTATAATTACATAAGCATGTTTTAATTAAGAACGTTAATTCCTCATCTTCCATTCGTAAATGTATTTTCAGGACTTATAATCTAAATTTAACTATTATTGTTACTGTATGATTCGAAAATTCTAAAATTGTGTACAGGAAATTGATTTGATTTAGATTATCTAAAACCTTATAGAAAAATGGATCCAATGTGAATGTGAAAGTTGTTTGGTTGATATTTTATTTGACACAGTTGATTTACACAAAAATCCAATCTGTGACTGCTCCTTCTTCTATTGACGTATTGACTCTGCTCAATTAAAGACCAATTCAACTTATTAGCCACCAACTTTCATAATGCACCTCTCACTTAACTTTTAACCCCACAAAAATTCCAATGCAAACCCTTATAATGAAAACTTCCAATTGCAAAGTGACATCATAAATGAGTAACCAAAAAGTGTATCTAGCAACTAAACAAAAATTTAATTTTTATATAATATGTTATTTTACTAGTCTTTTTTATTTATTGAATAAAGGAATAAAGAAATAAAGAAATCATGAAATTATTCCATATACATGGGTTATTTTTGAAAGTGAAATTATAACTTGGTAAATATTATTTTTAACTAAACGAGTGACATATATTCACACACACTCACTCATTTTTTAATTATACTATTAAAATTAAAATATAATTATACATTATAAATTATTCCTTTTTTACAAAGTTTTAAGTCTATTTTATTTTATATATTTTCTTATCATAAAACACTGAGAAACATTAAGTATTACACGTTTCTCAGAAAACATACAGAAGAGTAAAAGCAAAACTGAACGGTAAAGGCAGGTAAAAGAGGATGAGAAAAAAAGAAAAAAGAAAAGGTAAGATTACTCAACGTTTCTCAGAAAACATATACAAACAAAAGAGTAAAAGCAAAAATGAGGTAAAAGCAGGTAAAAAATAATGAGAAAAAAAGAAAATACAAAAGGTAATATTATCTGGTGTAAATTTACGCATTAAACGGGAAGAATGCGGAAAAGGGTTGATGAAACTTTGGGAATCTTCAGTTCTTCCTATTCCACCCTTTTGACAGGGTATTGCTACCTTCCTCTAACACCAAGCCCACCACCAACAACCAACCCAGAATGCCATAGCATTCCAACAATTAAATAAACACAAAAAATAAAAAAGTCATTTTTTTTGTTCCGTGTAGCTTTTTGGAGCTGGATTCTCCTTGAATTCTTCGTTTGACTAGTTTTTGTTTCTGGGTTTGTTTGATCTTTTCAAAGGTTTCCAGCTCTTGCCTGCTGCCAAGAATTATTCATACCAAAAACTGCCTTCTTGCTGCTCGTGTTTACCTTTTGCTCGGTTAAGTGGGATGTGGAGAGATCCGGGAGTTTCAGCTGATTCTTTCTATGAAATCCGCCCGGAATGTACCGATGTTCCTATTTCTCGATTTAAAATCAAGGTTTGTTTTTGTTTTTAATCTTTTTCTTTTTTCTTTTTCTTTTCCCCCCATTATTTGGTTTGGTCTTGTGTAATTTGTTAAGGGTATCTTTGTTTGTTTGTGAATGAGAAGTCTTTGGTTGATGGGAATTGATGTTGGTCTAATGTGAGCAATGCATGTGAATTTGAGGTTTTGTGAATGGTTTTGGTCGTTTAAGAATGTCAGCTATACACACATATGGCTTGACTTCCTCTGTAAGCTATACGAGCTTGTTAAGTGAATATCTGGAAAACAAATTTGTTCATCTGAGGGATGGGGAATTGTTGACCTTTACGAAGTCGTCGACAGTGGTTTTGATGTTGGTATTTTATCAATGGGAAAGGAGTTTTCGTTTTACATCTTTCAGCAGGATAGTGTTTCTTTTTGTTTTTTATGTATTTCAAATAAGTGATGTTAAGTATCCGTTTTAATCAATGAAACTTGGTTCAGTTAGAAGAATTTATTGTACATAATTACATATATATAAATGTTATTGGTTATATTATTATCCCAATGGATACAATCCTGATTCTTAAACTAGTTGCATGAAAAAGAAACACTTAACAATTCAGATGATCAAGCAGAGTTTGATTAAGTGAAACACTCATTGTATCAATATTTCCATATTGCTTTTGCTGCAATAAACAATGCAGCGTTTGGGCTTGTTATTCACTGCTTGATTGCGAAGTACACATATAACTTAAATGAGAATTAAATTTGAGTATGGATAAAATACACTTTTTATTTTATAACGGGTCATGACTAATGCCACCTGAGTAATTGTCCTTGTTGTCCTTTGTATCATATGAGACATTAAACAAAATAAATCAGTTAGATGGTTCTATACCTCAATGCAAAAGTCATGTGTCTTATTGTGGTTCTATGGTGTATTTTGGCTGGAAAGAAACACGATAATCTTCTAGACATTGTTTGTCCCGATTCAAGTTTGGATCAGCTAGTTTTTCTCACTTCTTCATTTCGTTCTGCCCATGGCCATTTTTTGTTTTATTCTTTAATTTTTTTATTTGGGGGTGGGTCAGGGGTCTCTTTTAGATCTATAGAGAGATTGACATGTTTGTGTTGTATATTACTTGTTTTTAGTTTTTGTCTTTTTTCCTTTTATGCTTGGTTGCAATTTTTTTATCAAAAAAGAAGAAAAAAGGGTAATCATTCACCTTCAACTGAGAACTAGTACAGTTAGTTCAATTTCTAATCTAGTGATACTCATACAATGTTAATTTATTTTGAACTTATTTTTGTTATGTGGTTCAGGCTGGTAAAACACTAAGTGCAAGAAAGTGGCATGCTGCATTTACTCCAGAAGGGTATCTAGATATAGGCAAGACTCTAAGCCGAATCTACCGTGGGGTAATTGTTTTTTATAGTTAAATGCTGCTTCAATATGTTTAAGGATATGGAATTTAGTCTGTCTCCTACATTCCGTAATGGTGTAGTCAGTGCCACGGGGAACTCTGGCTGGCTGGAAAACATAAGGTTATCTGTTTTGAATGGTTGAACTGACTCTTGGAATCTAACAGAACTTTTTGGTATTGGTATAATTTGGTTCTCTTTAGAGCATGAGATTCCATTAACTTGGCTGAGATTGAAGTATACAGACCACTAATTATCAGAAATAAATTAAGCTGGCCAAGTACTGCCAACTACAGATTTCAAGATATTGTTGATTGGAATAAAATTGAAATTCCTTTTTACACATATTTTCATATGCATTTTTCTTGTGAAACATCTTCCACCTTTTTTTCCTGTGCTGTGGGTTGATGGTTGCTTTGTTAAAATTTTTGAATCAGGGAGTCCATCCATCTATCAGGGGAGAAGTTTGGGAATTTCTACTTGGTTGCTATGACCCCAAAAGTACATTTGAGGAAAGAGATCAGATAAGACACCGCAAAAGGTTACGAGTTTTCTTGTTTAATGGTTTTTGTTTTTTTTTTTCTATAAGAATCCTTGTTTTTTTTTTCTATAAGAATCCTCTTGTTCAACCTTATCACTGTCACAGCATCCTAAAAAATTTAAATATTTTATGGTGTTTCACTTCTCTGCACCACATACTTGAGATGAGCCTTAAAAATTGTGACAGTAATTGCTTCCTCGTCCTTTATAATATCAGTACTTTTTGTGGTATAAACTTCAGTTGCTGAATTCCAAATCTAATAGATCCTTACTTGACTATCACTTTTACTTTTTATGTTATCAGAATGCAATATGCTACACTTAAAGAAGAATGCCGCCAATTGTTTCCTCTTATTGGAAGTGGTAGATTTGTCACAGCACCTGTTGTTACTGAAGATGGTCTTCCAATTCAAGATCCATTGGTTCTGAAAGAAACAAATTCAGCCAAGGGATTGGATGTACATCATCAAGATAATAATAATCATTCAAGTAGGATTGCTACAAATAGTTTACAGAAGGTGACAGACAAGATAGTAGTCCAGTGGCTGTTAACTCTTCATCAAATAGGTTTGTAAATAATTTTTTCCTTAATACAGTCTGTTATATTTCGTATATTATATTTTATCTATTTTTTCTGCATGTAATCTTTAAGTTTTAGGCAGAACCCTGCCCCACAATTATTTTCTTCACATGTCCATTATGCCTGAAATGATTTGTTGTACAGATTCAATTTGATATGCATGGCATATGGGTGGAATGTACAATCTATTATGTCGTGAAAGTTTTCTCATGCAATAATATAAGACCCAATTGCTAAAATATAATTGACACAGCAAATGACATTTCTATTGTACTTATATTTCAGGTCTTGATGTGGTTCGCACTGATAGGACATTAGTTTTTTATGAGAAGCAAGAAAACCTGTCAAAATTATGGGATGTACTAGCTGTTTATGCTTGGGTAGATAAAGACGTTGGCTATGGTCAAGGTGGGTCATACATATTTGGTATATTTTGGACATTCTGTTTACAACATTTTCTACATATGAACTTCTAGAACATAAAAAAAGCGAAATTGGTTTTCTATAAGTTAAAATTAACTTGTGCACAAATTAAGTTGTATAAGTTTTATCATGTAGCTTTTTTAATTTTAACTTGTGATGAACTAATTTTGAATTATGTAGAAATCAAATTTATTTTTTCTTATTAATCTCTTCTAAAAGTGCTTATAAAGAACCTTGTTCAAATAGACCCAAGGACCAATAATAATATTTAGATATTCCTATCTGAGATCATTCCTTAATACTCATGATAATTCTATGCAACAAGCTTGCACTGTTCTATGATATATTTACTAGTTGTTGAGACTTATTTTAACCTCAACAAACCTGGTCCTCAAGGGGAGGCCAACATTCATGGAATAGTTAATTGGTAGTTAATGCATGGTAACTTTCTGTGTTCGTGTATTTTTAGTTTTTGAAATAGCTTATCAATTCCCCTGTGTATTTAGACAACTGTTTTTAAGTGGTCGGTCAGATTAAAGCCTCTTCATTTTCAATATTGAAAAAACAAGCAGATAAATCTGTACTCTGAGAGAAGAAAACACCAACTTGGTTTATGGAAAGAATTTAATAAGCGAGGCATATTGCTTTATATATAGTTTATCTTCTGTTTCTCTTGCGATCAAGCAAGAAATATTTGCTAGCCACCATTTGCAACAAAAAGCTTCCAGTTTTAACATTTTACAATTCTGGGCAGGAATGTGTGACCTATGCTCCCCTATGATAATTCTTCTTGATGATGAAGCAGATGCATTTTGGTGCTTTGAGCGTCTGATGCGCAGGCTTGTAAACATCTTGTCTCTTAGACTCTATTTTATTATTAACTTTCTTCAACACTCTTTTATTCTATTACTTATTGACAAGATTGGAGGGAGGGTTCTAGTATTTGATTATTGAATTTTCTTGGCATTTCCTGGAAATGTTATATATATTGGATTTGTTCACTTCTAAATATAATCTCTTTCTTAAGTTGCACAATGCATAGAGGCCAGTTAAAATTTTGCTTAAGTTCCTCTAGGTTTGACACTAATGTTTTAAGTATGCTGTTTCAGAAATCCATTCGTTATAATGTTGAAAACTCACTGGTTTACTATTTTCTTGTGCATACTTGGTTAGATTAGATATTTCTATCACAATTTTGCCAATGTCACCTTTACTCTTCCTTGCACAGTTGGAGCTATCCCAATTTTGTAAGATGTACTTCTGTTAATAAAATTACAATTGAGCTTTCATGTTTTCAGATATACAACTTGAAAGAGAAGAATTGCAATGTATTTGTAACTTTGTACATGTTAGAGATGTAAATGTAATTAAACCATTCTCGAGTCTTCACCTAACAGCATAAGCTTTTAGGAGAGTTGGTTGCATAGATGGTATTTGAGCTTCAACACATGGTATGCCCCCATGTATTATTCGTTTTTGAAGTCCTATTGGGTCTTGTGTAATGGGGTGGGTTAAGGATGTACTCACGTAATAAACCATTCTTGAGCATTCACCCAACAACTTAAACTTTTAGGTGAGTTGGTCATCGATGCTTGAAATTTTATTAAAGAAGTAGGTGCACAAAGATTCCATGAGAATAGTTAGTGCTTTGTGGTTACACAGAAAGTTGTTTTGTTAGTTGTATTTCGTAGGTTGAATCTCAGTTTCTTATTATTTGTGTTCTTGAATTTGTAAAGCGCGGCAATTTTAGATGCACTGAGAGCTCTGTTGGGGTGACATCTCAACTAAATGTGTTGGCTTCAGTTACTCAAGTAATTGATCCAAAACTTCATAACCATTTAGGTATTTTCTTGCATATATGCTTTTGTCTTTTAGTTATGGTCAAAGAAGGATTTTTAACTTAAATTATATTGTTTTTATGTGATCTTTGTTTCAAGAAATGAAGATTGCAAGAAAATGAGTTGTTATGATCAGCTCTTGTATTGTCATTCAAAGTTGTTGAATAAATCAATCTCCTTTCTTCAATTAAATTTAATTTCACTGCTCTCAACTAATGTTGAAGAAACAGAATGTACTAATAATGTGCTGTCTTTTGATATTGGAGCACAGACAATCTTGGTGGAGGTGACTATCTGTTTGCTTTTCGAATGCTAATGGTTTTGTTTCGTCGAGAATTCTCCTTTTGTGATTCATTGTATCTTTGGGAAGTATGTTTGGCTTCTTTTGTGCTTTGTGATATATTTTGTTACATGTATTGAACCAAGGAATCTCTTAAGTTTGCTTTGTGTATATAACAGATGTATCATGTACCTAATCATGATCTGATATGTTACATTATTTTTGTATTAGAAGTTTTTGGATCAATAAATTTATGATTTATCTCATGAGATTAGTTTAGTGTTCCCTTTGTGTGTATGCATTGGGATGATGAGTAAGTAATGACTTAAACTTTGAACAGATGATGTGGGCCTTGGAATATGATCCTGACTTGTTCTTGATGTATGAAATGCCTGAATCAGCTTCTGAAAAAGCTGTGGGCTCAAAAGGGAAATCAAAGTCAATACGTCAATGTGGAAAGTATGAGAGAGAATTTTTGAAGAGTGGATCAAAGAATGCTTCTCAAGCTCCTCTTCCTATATCTGTTTTCCTTGTTGCTAGTGTTTTGAAAGATAAAAGTTCAAAACTACTCCAAGAAGCACGGGGTTTGGATGATGTTGTCAAGGTTAGTCTTGTCACATTTAACTTTGCATTGAATAAGATGGATCAATCAGATGGAGAGAAACTATATATATTAAAATGGTTGAAATGCACTTTTTTCCTACGTTTTAATTGCAATTAAGTTTTTATTTTTATGAAAATACTCAATGTGGTCCTTGACTCAATTGAGTTCCTATTTTTATGAGAAAACTCTGGTCCCGTCCATTAAATTGAAGTTAACACCTTTTAAAAGTTATGTATCAAAATCTATTGTGTCAAAATCTAAATCATCTTCTACGTTAGAACTCTTTTGATTTTGATACATGACACCTTTTAAGTAAAAGATGAATCAAATTTTGATTCATAGTAGACCCAGATTTTGACACATGATATTTCCAAATGACAATACCAATTTAAAAGAATGGACCATCTTGAGTTTTTTTTTGTTCAAAATTAGGGATTCGATTGAATTTTTTTTTAAATAAGCTGACTCAAAAAGAATATATGAATCAAAACAAATCAAAAACCTAAATATTGATATCAAATTACTAATTAAACCATTAAATAATTTTAGTCCACTTTTAATATTTTTTCTCATTTCTAACATAATTTTGATGTGTTGTTAACTGATGACAATATTAATTATTTACTTACATAAAATTTTAAAATTAATTGGAAAATCACATTGACTAAACTAGGAGGACAAAAATGAATCTGACCTTAAATTATTTCTTATTGAACAGTGTCTTAAGTTTTTTTTATGTATTATATAAAAACAATATATTTGTATGAATTTAATTAAATACTAACATTAATGTAGGTTTTTATACTATATCCAATCATAAACAGTCATATATATATATATATATATATATATATATATATATATAGATAGATAAATTGTTAAAGACGTATACAATGTGATTTTTGTATTGGTTGACTGTGTACAAAATTTTAAAATTCAATACTTGAAAATCAAACAATTCTTATATTCTTTAAAAAATATAATTTACATTAGTTGTCAAAATAAAACATTTATATATGGGATATAATTCACCTTATTCATTTATGAAATTAATTTATATACATTGTAAAACATTTCTCATAGATATGCAATTAGAATTTGCCCGATTGTCTCACTATTAACGAATATTATAATGTAGTAAAATGATTAAATTTCATTGCACATCTATGTGAACATAATTTACACTAACCTTGCATATAGATTTAGTTATTTATTATTTATTAATAAAATGTAGTGATAGGGAGAATTCCTATTGAAAGTCTATGTAAAAAGTTTTATATTGACAGTGTATATAAATTAAACTATTCTTTTTTAACAAATTTTGCTTTACTTTATTGCTCCATCATTCAGTATGATTGTCAATACAAAAGTTTAATATGTTAACTAAGAAATAATTCTTGGAATAATTTTTTAGGTGAATATTATTAAAAGTCAACACTGTTAATCCTTTTTATAAGACTCAATTGATAATATCAAATTCATTAATTTATTTAGGCTAAAATACCTCTAATTAAAATAGAGAAGTTATATGGCCAAACAATTAGAGGACAGAAAAGAGTGTGAACGACAAGGGTAGTTTTGAAAAAAAAAAAAATACATTGAAAATGTTTTTTATTATCAATGAAATTAACCACTCTTTTAACCTTAATGAATTAAGTAATTGAAAATTATTAGCAAGAAGGGAGAGACTATTATTTTTCTTGTATCTACTAACTTGTTTTTTCTCCTTTGATGTAATTATTCTCAGATCTTGAACGACATAACTGGGAATCTAGACGCCAAAAAAGCTTGCAATGGGGCTATGAAACTTCATAAGAAATATTTGAAAAAGGTACTGTTTTACTCTGCAACTCTTCCTTGCTTTTCATACCTTAGAATTTCCATATTATTATAGGAGGAAATGCAAACTGCATTGTAGGCACGTACCAGTTTCTAGAGTCACGGCTAAATGTCAATATCAATTGCCATCAACTCTCTCTACAGTTTTTTTTTTGTTAAAAATGCATTAAATCATAATCTCCGAATTCCAAGCACCGATCTTTAACCATAGTTTCTTTGGTATTTGTGTTTCTGTTCTTTGTTTTCCAACATAATCTTGTTTATTTATCTCCTAAACTATAATGTTGTAATTTCTGCAGGCCAAGAAACCCTAGCACCAAATACATCTATATATTCACTGATTCTTTGTAATGTGTTGTATGATACATTTGTATCATTCGCCACGAGGGAGGTAATAATGGAGAACATTAGGAGTTTACAGAATTGGAAAAAGGGATTCAAATATCCAACCATCAAAATCCCTGAGCAACTGTTGTATGTGAAATCAATTTGATTTTTCTTTTTTCTTATGTATCCGAAAGAAGTGAGATTGTATATGAAAATAGAATTTTTCTGTAGAACTGTCTATTTTGTTGGACTTAGTTATTGCATATGGGAAAACAAGGTATATGAAACAGCCATTCTTTCTACTATTTATGTGATCGTATTCTAGAAAAATTGAATACAAATGTATTTATAATGTAGCAAAAATTGATAAACATGGACATAAACAATTCTCCTTAACCAGTTCGGTTGAATCAAAGGATTTATTGTCCGCTTAAAACTCTATTGTTCAACCAAGGAGAAACCAAAAGCATCTAAAATACATATAAACTCATTTTGCAAATATTTTAGTATTAATGGCACCAAAGAAAAGATATAATTGCATGTTTATGATGATGACTAATAATTTTATACTCTACAAATAAGAAGCATATACGAGAAACTTTCAATCTTTGTGCTAACAAAAAATACATACAGAGAACTATTACCAATTCTTTTGCCTCAAAAGACATGAAAAGAACCAAAAGAAAGGTAATAAAGGACGACATGAACATATACTCCAAACCATGGTTATCAAATTGACCTCGCTGCTAGACCTCTGGTCTCAGTTGTCATCTAAAATGATGATATACAAATTTGTATTAATCCAATAAGATTAGTATAAAACCGGTCAAATCTGATGCAGAAAATGGTTAAAAATCCTCTAATATATTGGTTATTTCATTTTTATTTTATATATAAAATTTAAATATTGATGTATATTATTGAAATTTAAATTTAAGTACAATACTTATATTTTGTTTAAACTTTTATATGTATTTAAATGTTAAGAACTTGTATATTTATATTTTATTTTGGTTTTAAAACTTTTATGTATTTTGGTTTTAGTTATAAATAAACATAAATAAATTGAAAGTAATTAGAAATAAATTGAAATTTAAGAAATTGTGAAAGATATTTTAAATAAATAAAATAGAAGAATTTTATATATTTAAAAAATATAAGATATTTGAAATTTTATTTTTTTCACTCAGCTTTCACTTTACTCACAAAAGTAAACCTAAGTTGACTTATATTGAAGGTCTAGTTGAGTCGGTTCGAGTAGAAGGCTCAACCTAGTCGATCTAGATCAAATTGACTCAATTTTCGATCCAAATCGAAGTTCAAGATGAGTTGATTAGGGTCGAAGATTAACACAAATTGAAATAAGCCAAAGGTTGAGACAAGTCAAGTCAAGTCAAAGGTCGAGACGATTTAACCTAGGTGGAAGGTCGAGGCAATGGCCTAACTTGAAAGCAAAGTTGATTCACCCAAGGACAAAGGAAAAATCGATTAAACCTCAAGACAAACGACAAGTCGAATTGGTCATGGTCGAATGTTGAGATGATTTGATTGGACCAAAGGTCGAGATAGATTGGTACAGGTCGAAGGTCAAGACAATGTTGGCACTGGTTAAAGGCCAAGACATGTTAGTCAAGCCAAAGGTCAAGATGAATCGGTCCAATCAAAGTTCGAGGCGAGTTAGTTGGACCGAAAGTAAAGACATTTTTATGTAGGTTGAATGCCAAGTTGATTTGGCATATGCATACGATTGAGTTGATTTGTCCCGAGATGAATGATGAGTCAAGTCGATCATGGCTAAAGGTCGAGATGAGTCAGTTGAACCGTAGGTTGTAACAACTAGAACTAGGTTGAAGGTCGATATAAATCGACATAGGCCAAAGTTAAAGACAAGTCAGTTAGGCCAAAGGTCAATAATTGGCTCAAGCCCAGGATCAAAATGAGTTAGCCTAGGCCGAAGTTTGAGGTGAGTCAACCTAGGTCGAAGGTAGAGCCGATTCAACATGGACCGAAGGTTGAGTTGAGTCAACTTAAGCTGAAGGTCGGGCCGAGTTGATCCATACTCAAGGTCGAGTTGAATCAACCCGGGTCGAAGTCAGGTCGAGTCAAATCGAACCAAAGGTCGTGTCAAGTCATCCTAGGCCAAAGGTTAAACCGAGTCAGTTTTTGTAAGACCCCTTTCAGGATGCTACTTGTAATTTATAAAATATCTATTTCTTAAAGAAAAACAATCTTTGATACCATCATTATACAGTGAATTTAAAAAAAAGAGTTTATTTACTCATCATAAACAATGTTACAACCATTCACAAACAAAAACTTTATTGCAATTCCAAAACTTTAGGTGTTGTTCGAAAATTACAATTTAAAATAAATTATTGCTCTAAATACATTTTGAAAACTCCTAAAAGATTCCATAGCACGCCTCCTCACTCTAAACATCTCCAATATCATCTATAACAACATTTACTCGTGTATAACAACACAAGTTATACAATCATAGAAAAAAATAAACAAATAAAAAAGATAACTTCCCTTACATCTGAATGGTTGATTTGAGCAGTGTGGGTGAGTATGTTATTATATTGTATCACATTTTTTTTATGGTTAACTCACATTTATTTATTTGTGTTTGTGCGATGATCGTATAACTCGTATTGTTATACAAGAGCAGATGTTATTACATATGAGGCTATAGATGCTTAGAGTGAGGAGGCGTGCTGGAAAATATTTTGAGAATATTCAAAATGTATTTACAAAAAAAAATTATTTTAAATTATAATTTTTGAATAGTTGTAACATTTTTTATGACGAGTTAATAAAGTTTTTTTTTTCTAAATTCACTTTATAGTGACGTATCAAAGATTGTTTTTCTCTAAGAAATGAATATTTTATAAATTACAAATAACATCCTAAAAGAAGTGTTAAAACTTTGAACAAAAGATCGAATTTATTTAGTCCCGAACCAAATGTTAAGTCGAGCCAACTTAGATTAAAGGTTAAAATAAATTTGTTAAAAGTCAGGATGAGTTAGTCAAGCCAAAAGTCAAAACAAATTCTCTCAAACCAAATGTTAAGTTAACTCAAATTGAAAATTATAACTAGTTATCCAAATATTTTTAAAATTGAATTTTACCTTAATAAAAAAATTAAATTATTTTATCCATTAAAAAAACTAAAATTTAAGATATTTCAATTACTCAATCCAAACAAATTATTTATAAAATATAAAATAATTCAAATACAATATATTTTAACTTTTTTATATTACTAAAATTTCTTAGTATTGCTTAAGTTCCTTGTCTAAACATAATGATATTTATATAAAAATCACAATAGTTGTTTTTCTTTTTCAAAATGTGACTAATTAATTCACACAATTATTTGGAGATTATAACATTTACATTAAACTTTACTAATACCTCACTTATAAATTATGTAGCAATAATAAACAATATTTATTATTATTAACTTTTAATCTAGATAATTGGACTCTTTATTAAAAATTTATTTACAATAATAAATTTTTATTATAGTTTACAATAGACTTTTTAAAGGAGTTAAATTTAATTTATTGTATGTGTCAATTAATAATTTCCAAACTCCATGTTATTTAAATAAAAAACAAAAGACATTCATTCATTTCATAATAAATAAACTAAAATCAATTAAATTTAACTTAATAAAAAATAATTAACTTCCATGGATAAAGTAAAGGTTCAAAAACTAATCTCCTGAAAATAATACATAATATAAATTTAAATTAATACTACTATAGGATCACCAAGGATCACCAAGCTTTGGTAGAGGCCTAGTGGTCATCAACATGCCTGTAAGGGACCGGTATATATTAATGTTAGGATAATTTAAGACTAATCATTAAACAAGGGCCATTAATGATTAATTAATGTTAGATAAGTAACATTCATTAATGATCAATTATCAGATTTATTAAACTGTCGTTTTAAGGTTTATAAATATAGATTTAGTATCTAGATAAAGGATACTTATTATCATGATATAATTCTAATAAAATTCTTCTAAGAAACATATCTAATTTGAATGTCAAAATATTTGTTACAGTTTAACCTTTGTACTAGTAGACGATTGACAGAAAAAATACCAATCGAACGGGTAAGTGAGACTTGATCGACTCCCACAAAGCATAAACATTAACATTATTAATGATTTTTCTTAAAATATTTTTTATGTATAGTGTTAAAAAATCATTAACTCCATCTTCTATAATAATATCCCAATTATCTAGAAAAAAAAATCTATCCAAATTTTAACACTCAAAGAAGCACAACACAATTTCGACTCTAAATTTTTTATAAACCTTATCATTACTAAAATTAAATTGAGTCATTACGTTTTCAAATGGTAACTTATCCATTTCTCTTTGTGGAAAAGTAAAATTTGGTTTTCTAACTCTTTCCACGGTTCCAAATAACTTTTATAGTAAGTTTTTGTTTTTTTTCAAACCCGAAAAATAGCTTGGACAGAGCACAACCCCTATCTTAAAATCACTTTAAAAACAGTAAATAAAACCCAAAATTAGCTTATGATACATACAAGAAAAATTGAGGGATCATTTTGGTTTGAAAGGAAAAGAAGTATACTAGGTACCAAATGACGTACAACCCTAAACACACGCACCCTTCAATTCTCCCTCCCAATATAGCTAAATGACACAGAAATTTGTTTAAGGATTATGCATGAAAATGAACTTCAAATTAAAAACAAGAATTATTTGGACGTAAACCAAAACACCACCACGTGTTATTTCCAAGGCGTTTTGGTCAACAAAGTTCTTAGTATCTAGTAAATTTCTAAGGACTATTGTTCCAGAATTAACGAATACTGCTCTTCCCATTCCAAAAATGGCTTCCAAACATTCTCTGTCCTCCGAAACCATCGCTAAAACTAACGGAACATAACTCCCTTCTCCTATTTTTCTTACATTATAGATACCTTCACTTTCTCCACCCTCTCTTATTTTCGCTCTTCTACCCCGCCGCCGCGTCGCCGCGCGGCCACGACCCTCGTTTTCCCTCGTACAACACATACACACATAAAAAAAAGCACAAACACAAAAAGAAAACAGACAAAAACGTAGGAGGAGTTAGCTAGGTATACATTGAAGAAAGAGAACAAAAATGCTTTCGACAATGGAAGAAACCACCTATTCAATAGCCTCCTCCTCCTACCCAACAAAAAAAGCAATAATAAAACTACTAACAATCCATCTCTTCCTTTTCTTGAGCCTCCATGTCTCCGACGTCGGAGCACAGAAACAAGCATCGTCATCTTCGCTCGAACTCGAAAGCTGCGATGGAGTTTTTATCTCGTACACCCTTGTGTCGCGGGAGAAGGAGTATCCGCACGTGAAGAACGCATCGAAGCAGGCGTGGGCGTTCAAGGCGGAAGCTACGCTGACGAACGTGGGAGATGAGGAGGTGCAGGGGTGGAAGATGTTTGTGGGGTTCCAGCACCGCGAGATTCTGGTCTCCGCAGACGGCGCCATTCTCATCGACGCCAGCGACTTTCCTGCGGAGGTGGGAAATGGGACGACGATGGTGGGGTCCACCGTGGCGGACTTGAAGACCGCCATTGGCACCGCCGGGGATCTGAACCAGATGAGTGCGAAGATCGATATTGTTGGGACGCAGTTTGGGTTGGGTGTCGGAGCTACCCCCATGCCCAAAACCATTACTCTCCAGAATGATGGATTCAAATGCCCTGCACCTACTCGAAAAGGTAATATACGTATCCATGCTTTTTTCTCTTCTCTCACGTCGTAGATTTCATGCAAAATCTGTGATCACATGCTTCCAAATTATAATAGTTTTTCTTCTGCAACGTAATTATCTTCCATATATTATAATAGAAAAAACAGTTATCTCCGTAAATGTTGATCTATGTATCAAATTACAAATTTATTAAAGATAGTTTACTATAAAATTTTAGACGATTGATGTTGTAGTTTAAGAATAGGATCACGATATTTTAACCAACTTTTTTAACAACTTTTCGATAACACACGATGATGATGTATCACTGTTTTATTGGTTTGTATATGTGAAACGGCTGAATCACAAACTACGAGATAGGTTTTGTTGTTAAAAGATTGTCAAAAAAAAAGTTTTTAAAAGAGACATCTTCCTTAAGAATAATGCCATTATATACGCATGATCATGGTATTGTATATGACGGTCTTTCGTGATCATGAGATGATAGGATTTGGAACAAACAATTTCTGCATATATATAGAACTTGAAAACGATATACTGTAACTTTGATTACAATGCATGGAGAGTGATAAGATTGTTTTTATGAATGAATGGTGCAGCCTCGACAATGTTCGCATGTTGCAGAAAGGACCCGAAAGTGAAGGCAAAGCCAGTGACGAAAACCAAGTACCCTCCTCGTCGCTCTGGGGATCTCACCATAGAATACGACGTGCTTCAAGCTTTTCAGAACAACTACTATGTCCAAGTGACAATCGAGAACAAACACCCATTGGGTCGTCTTGATCATTGGAACTTGACATGGGAATGGCCAAAGGGAGAGTTCATATATTCCCTTAAAGGAGCTTATGCTCGCAGAAAAGACCCTTCTGACTGCTTGTATGGTTCAGCTGGAAAATTCTACGGTGACATGGATTTCTCGCAAGTTGCAACCTGTCAGAAGAAGCCAATAATCTCTGACCTTCCAGCAGAAAGATCAGAAGATGAAAAAGTTGGGAAACTCCCTTGGTGCTGCAGGAACGGGACCGTTTTGCCTCCACTCATGGACAAGAACAAAGCTAAATCAATGTTCCAGATGCAAGTGTTCAAAATGCCACCAGATACTGATAACAGAACGGCCATCACACCCCCTATGAAGTGGAACATCGATGGTGTCATCAATCCACATTACCAATGCGGTGCACCGGTTAGGGTTGATCCTTCGGTTTTCCCTGACCCCAGTGGACTAAACGCAATCTCCACAGCTGTAGCAACTTGGCAAATAGTTTGCAACATCACCAAACCCAAGCCTCAGCAAAACCGTTGCTGTGTCTCCTTCTCAGCGTTCTACAACGAATCAGCAATCCCTTGCAACACGTGTGCATGTGGCTGTACTGACACAAGGAAGTGCAACTCTCAGGCCTCTCCATTGCTTCTTCCACCAGAGGCTCTTCTTGTGCCGTTTGCAAACAGAACCGTGAAGGCACGAGCATGGGCCAAACTCAAGCACTTGCACGTTCCTAGCAGGCTCCCTTGTGCAGATAACTGCCCCGTGAGCATCAACTGGCACGTGAATTCGGATCACAAGGAGGGATGGACTGCTAGGATAACAATTTTCAACTGGGAGGATTACTCATTTGATGATTGGTTCACTGCGATTCAGTTGACGAAGACTTTCGACGATTTTGAAGATGTTTATTCCTTCAACGGGACAAGAATTCCTGGTCTGAAAACCATTTTCTTAGAAGGCCTGAAGGGTTTGAACTACTTGGCTGGTGAAACCAATGGAACATACGCTAAAGACCCTAGGGTTCCAGGGAAACAACAATCTGTGCTTTCTTTCACCAAAAAGCACGTAAAACACTTTGATATCACAAAAGATGGGTTCCCCTCTAAGGTTTACTTCAATGGAATGGAGTGTTCACTTCCCCCGATCAGACCACACAAAAGTTCGGGGCATAAATCTTCCATCAGTGTCATTGCACTCATATTGACAGCGTTTCTGACTCTCTTGCTGATATAAATTAAACAATAGAGAACGAAGGGCTGACATTGGCAATTGAAGATGATCTGAATCCAAATTAAGGGTTTATTTTTCTTCTCTTCGGGGCTGCTTTTAGATATATATATATATATACGTATATGTGTGTGAAGGTCACTCTCTCTCATCAACGACGGGGGCTCATACAAACTGAGCAGAGAGATAAGGATACATGATGAGGGTTGCAGCCTTTTTGTGTAAAAGTACATAACTGTGTATCTGGTACAAGATGTATCTAGCTCATATTAAAATTAGATGGCCTTTTTGATTCACGTACGTTGCTAGTGTATGGATTGTTAGCTTCATGTAGATACGTTTCTCAAACAGAGTTTTAACCTTCTCATTCACAGGTTCTTCATTTTCCTTTAGATTGAGATTACTTTGGGATGGATGGAAGATTTTCATTTCCAAAGTTGATGCAATTAACATATAAATGAACAAGTTTGAATGAAAACAGATTAAAAAATACACCTAGCAGACACCACGTATCAAACCATCGGGCATGAGACAACAATGAAGTACAGCTCAAGGTCCAACACAACCAATTTGCCTTTAAATGATTGTGTGTGGAAGGAAAATATCAGTATATAACTTTCTCTTGTAAAGAGAGGGTAGAAAGGGGTGTAAATGGAAGTTCTTCTTTTAGCTTACATACATAAATGATATTTGACAAACATAACACTAATTTTTCTTATTTTTTATTTGTTTTCTAAAAGAAATACAAAAATTTATTCTTTCATATCTATTTTATCTTTGTATCAAATGAATATATAAAAATGTATAATCGTACATTAGTCAACAATATAATCTCAGAATAATTTAGTTAGAAAGTTTTGTTCCAGCAAACTGTTAGAATAATTACTGTTACATATCATCATTAAGGCTAGTCTACTAGACCAGTAATGAGTAGTACCTAGTTCTGTACCTAGAGGTCTAGTGCAGACTCTTGGTGTTCAATGTACTCTTACTTTTTCAATATATATAGAAGATAATGAGAGGGATCTGTTAAGCCCTCAAGAATATATTTTTATCAGTTTTTAATCTCAAGTTGGTATTAGAGTAGGTTCATCCTGCTCTGGTTTCTGTCCTGGGTTGTCTACCAGCATTGTCATTGTCGTCCGCATCTGTCCGGTGCCCATTGTTGTTGTCCGCAGTTGTCTTGTCACTACCTGCAGCTGTCAACTGCAATTTAAAGCTCTTCAACTTGGTTCTCTGCCATCTCACATCTGTCCACCACCGTCCGCCGTCACTGTTCTGTCCGGCGACCACTGGATCTAGTTCGTCTCTTCACGCGACGACCAACCCCATTGGTGCTGGAGTTTGATTCTCCTCCACGCTCCGCCACGCGTCGCTTCTTTGTGCGCTGCGAACAGGCGCACGCACCGCCCTCTACCCGTCGGAAGGTCAACGCGACACCTCCATAATTGTCGCCTGAGCCTCCTCTCTCTGTTCTGACCCTCAAAACCCTACTTCAGTGATGTCCAAAAGCTTCCCTTGAAGAAAACCCTAAGAAACCCTCTCGGTTTTTTGGTTCCTTGTTGTCGCGTTTTTCTTTCTCCTATTTTTATCAAGAATGGCGTCTGGAAGTGTTCTTTCTTTCTTTGGAAGTCCCTCCATTACTTCCGAAAGGCTAAACGGAAAGAATTATCTGTCTTGGTCTGTTGTCATGGAAATGTGGTTCCTCGATTAAGGACATTATGACCACCTTGAGCAGGATGGAAGCCAAGTACCTTATGAAAAGGCTGAACAATGGAAACAAGCATATTTCCAATTGTGTGCCCTATTGTGGCAATCTGTGGAACCCCGACTTTTGATATCTCTTAGAGCCTTCAAAACATGTCACTCTTTTTGGAAGAAAGCTCAAAGCATTTATGCTAATGATATTCAACGTCTTT